TGTGCTGGACATGGTAACAGGAGAAGTAAACAAACAAGTTACAAGAACGGACCAACTACAAATTGTCACTTCCTAGATTTCAGTTCCAAAGAGTATCGTTACTAAGTTCGGCATGCTATTTAACTTCAGGTCAAACTCACTTCTTTTCCTTGTTTGTTTATCTCCTTCAGCCCTTTTCTGAAAAAGATCATTGCCCCACGTGGACCACGAAGTGACTTGTGAGTTGTGGTAGTAACAACATCTGCATACTCAAAAGGAGAAGGAATGACTCCAGCAGCAACCAAGCCACTGATATGTGCCATGTCCGCCAAGAGAACAGCTTTTTGCTTGTCACATACCTGTCAATCACTCAAAATAGAGCTATCTTAAAAAAGTTGGAAAATATAGTAGTGGGAAAAGGCACCAAAAGGTTTATTAGCTTACCTTGCGGATACGTGCATAATCATATAAGCGAGCATAAGCACTTGCACCAGCAACAATTAACTTTGGTCGAAAGAGCACTGCACTTTTCTCCAGCTAGGGAAATGGAAATTAAACAACAGTAAGTTGAAGAAAATAACGAGACTAAAAGCCCCGGGGAAGACAAAAAGAGGGAAAGGAATCAAGGTAGCAGCTTAGATTTGTAAACACTAACACATGTTCTTTTTCCCCAGACAAGACTAGCATAAACATCTGTAGTATGAAGGCACCTGTTCCTACAGTATTCCTAGCTCAACAGCCTACACTTTCGAGCCAAAACAGCAAGAACTTACCTATCTCATTTCCCCAATATTGTTTTTTGAATATGCTTAGAAGCTATAATAGAGTCTGCGCCATGTGGACACTGATATTGCAAAAAATGCCAAAGCATATGAAGTAGGAACAATTTAACCCGAAAGTGATATTCTATTGTTTGCAAATTCTATGATGTTGCAACCAAGAAATCAGTGCATGTAGCCAATTACACAGGAATGACAAAAGATACTTTTGACTTTTATATATTTTTTGAGTCGATGACTACTGAAACTAGTAATTCATAAGTCACCAAAAAGGTGCAGCGAGACACAAGAAAAAGAATTGCTTGTAACCTAAATCATTCCCAATTAAGCAGACAAGTAGCAGGTTACCTGATCATAATCAATATAACCTGTGCTCTCATCCAATCTGTATGGCATGGTCTCGAAAAAGATAGACACAGCAGAAATTTTCTTTGTGTCAGTCTGCATAGCATAAGCAGAAATAAGGACATTGCAGGGAAATAAAGATGACAGCGAAATACTCAGAGATACTAATTCAAGAGAACAGAACCTGATAACCATGTGACAGATGTCCCCCATGAGGAAGATCGAGTGCCATAATTCTCTCATGAGGCTTTAATAAAGCAGTGTACACTTGAAAGTTTGAAGGGGATCCAGACAACGACTGAACGTTGACTGCAGCAAAATTCATCAAATATTTAGCATAAAAACTATTATCAAAAACTTATAGATCAAGAATAGAACCATAATAGGTTCTGTTCACATCTAATGATCCACTCAGAATGAAGTATTCTGCACGGTGTAGTTACCTCCCCATCTGGTGGGATCCAAGTTAAAAACTTCTAATGCACGTTTTTGACACAATCTCTCTGCCATGTCAATGTACCTGTGTAGGACAATAAGGATACTTGGTAACTCTTCCCAATGATATTCGGTTAGCAACAAATGATAGCCAGAATGAGCAGAACTTGTTGGTCAGCCAGAAACAATTTTATCAATGTCACAACAACTTAGATTACTTCAACTCAATCAGAGAATGAAAGCAATTTGAACGTACTCATTTCCTCCATAGTATCTAGCACCAGGATACCCTTCACTGTATTTGTTGGTCATTACTGATCCAACTGCTTGCATCACAGACAATGATGTAAAATTCTCTGAAGGGATAAGCTCAAGACCCTACAAATTCATTGTTCATACATATAAGAAAACAAGCTTTTAACATAAACAGGTACTTGTAAAAAGTACTCTTTTCATTCCAATTTATATGACATATTTCCCCTTTTGAGACTTAACAAAATCTTACACACAATTCTATTTCTATATAACTTTCAAAATTCAAATTCGTTAAGCTAATCAACTTTTAAACAAATTTATTTTCACGTTTTCTCTACTAAACTAATTTTTAAGTACTAGTTTAAGATTTTCTTCCATTATAGGAGGAAACAATTAGTGATAACATATACACAAATACGATTACGAACCTTCCATTGTCTAGCTTTCTCATGCTCAATGATGTCGGCGATCTCTGGATCGATATCCTCAAGTGGCGCATTCAGCTGCTTTATCCACTGCTTAACCAAATAACCATTAGCAAACATCAAAAGCACAACATATTTATTGAAGAGACAGATTGTTACTAACATTCGAAACTTACAAAAATCAAAGATCCATAACAAAAGAAAAAAAGACAACGCATTTGAAAATGAAAAGGCGGATATGTATTATGATTCGATTTACTAACCGTAACACGCGGATCCTCCCTTTCACGAATTGCTTGATTAGGGAAAGATGACTGTTGTAGAAAAAAATTAAAAAAAAAAAAAGCAAAATGAATATCACCAGCTTTGGAAATCAATAACAAAATATTAATGGACGTATACACTCCACCATGTAATAGAGGGAAGAGCCATTGGAAAGAGGACGAAGAAGCTTAATGGAGGAAGCACAAGAGAGTTTACGAAGAGCCATAGCCATTGCCATTTTTTTTTAACTCTGTAATTTGGCCCTTTCCGCTCTACGAGAGATGCGAGCTTTTTCGTTTTGATTTTTGGGTTGGTGTGTTAGGG